CAGAAAGAAATGTTGAACGTATAAAAAAAGCTGCAAATAGTGTTTTATGGGTATTAGAAAATGAAGAGAAAACATTGAATAATAATAATAATAATGAGCAACGAAATAATGATGCATATGATTTAATGATTAGTTATTCATGGAGTGATATGGATTTAGCACATAAAATTTCTGATTATCTAACAGCAAACAAACATTATAATGTTTGGATAGATCGAGATAAAATGCACGGTTCTATAATTGATTCTATGGCATCAGCTATAGAAAGCTCCAATACTATATTAATGTGTATGTCTGAAACATATAAACGTAGTGAAAATTGTAAAGCAGAAGCGGAATATGCACGTAAACGTAAAAGATGTATTATACCATTAATGATGAGAGAAAAATATGATCCAGATGGATGGTTAGGTTTCATATGTGGACAAAAATTATATATCGATTTTACACAATCTGAATTCGAAACAGCTATGAGTAAATTAACAGCAGAAATAGAAAAAAATCGTCAAAATAAACAACAACAACAACAACAGTTATCTTCATCAACAACGCCAATATCAATTCAACATGAAACAGAACCAAAAACAACACCATCAAAGGTGATTGTACAAGAAGAAACAAAATTGACAACACAACAGTATGTATAATAGTTTCATGTCAATTTTGTATTCATTACAAAAGAAAGGAAAAAGAAATGTACATTAAACATTGCACGAAATTCAGAATTTGAAATATAATAAATAATAAATTCAGTTGACGATACATTTTCTGAGACGTATTGAAGAAAATAAAGAAATTAGAAGGCATTTAGTTTTTCTGAAATTACGTTGACAAAGAAAACATGCTGAACACACTTATTGAGACAATGACATACAACTTCTGTTTTTCTATAGACATTTCGATGACGTACTTTTTTTTTTTAAGTATAAGAAATCTTATTTGAGGGCAAGAGTTCCTGTGCAGTATCACAAAGTACTTAAGAGTCAGTTTGTGACAAAAAATAGGCAGATGCGTCTGTGAATATTCTCAGAATTGAATTTTCTTTGTCTCATTTCATTACACATAAAGTCAATATGAAAATCTGAAAATGATGAGCTTTATTGATCACTTGTTTAAAAAGTAATGGCAAAAATAAATTTTAGACAAAGTTCAAACAAGAACTATCGAGTTTTCGATAAAAATTTATTTTTTGAAAAATTCTATGACTATTCAATGACTTTCTGATACGAATGAATCAGAGATGCTCGTCGGGGCACCCAGATGGTCGGGGCCCATGGAGAACCCATGGGGTGACGCCCCAAATGGGGACGGGGCCATATGTTACCCCATCATCTTTCCCCACAATGGTGGATTTTCGCAAATTCATTTCCCTGCCCATGGGGTGGACCATGGGGTGAAAAATCTTTTAACCCCATGGTCTAAATGAACTTTTATCATTTATGAAATCGTTTGAAAAAAATGGATGACGAGATTGTAAAAATTGTCTTATCGTCGTACAAATAATACAGAATGTTACACGTTCTTCCTATATATTTTCTCTTTTGTTCTTCATTTTTGTTTTCCGTTGTTTTTCTTTCGTATTCAAGTAATAATATGAAAACGACGTTTCACTCTTTCGTTTTCTTTCTATAACTTTATAGTTACCTTCACTATTTCTTTCATTTTTCCAGCCGCCATTACTTCTTCACTTTACTTTCTGTATTCATCTTTCCATCAGTGACATACTTAGAGTATACCAAAAGTAGTGGTGCAAGTTCTGTAATTCGCTATAACACGTTTTAAGAAACTTTCTCTCTATATAGTTTGATAGAGAAAAGAATGTTCCATATTTCTATAGTATATGATTATACTTCAACTAATATTATAATAATAAAATTTCGATAAGATCTATTTTGTTCACATGTATTACAACAACATGAATGCTAGCAAGTATTTTCTTTTAAATAACTTTTGATAAAAAGAAGGTAGAGAACTGCAGTTTTCACTATTAAAATCAGGAGATGAAGATGCATCGAATTGTATATTATATGTTTTTTTAATATTGATTTCTGAAGTATTTTTATTCAATTTTCTAACCGCCAGTAAAATGGTTTTTTATGGATAAAATGTAAAAGCAGAAAAGTTATCTTTTTTTATAGAAATTGCTAGAAAATCGTATCAGAGGCGCCACTACAATATAAATTATTGATGTCAAACGTCTGCAGTCTGTAGATTTTCGATTAGTGATTTGAATCTACACTTGATAATTGAAATTTCACTATAAACAACTTACTAAATAGATTTGTTCTTAAAAAAGTCAATTTAAAAAATCACAGAAAACAGATCAAGAAATTCTGTCATATATAATTTGAATGAATTATCTTTTCTGTTCGCCCTATGGGTGGGGCGAAGGGTGCCCATGGTCGGGGGTGAGCTGAAGTTCAAAAACCCAGACTCCCCATAGATGGGGAAAGTGGTTTTATAAAAATTGGCTTGTGGGGAACTCTGCGCATGGAAAGCCCATGGGCCCCATGGGGTGGTGAAAAATATCACATGAGCATCTCTGGAATGAATAGAGAAGACAAAGAAAGACAATTTGACTATCATCACTGTATGAAAACTAGGCTCTAATTCTACATACAGTCA